TATTCCTCTACCCACAACTGAATTTTACTATTATCTTGAACTTATTTGGTCTTCTTTGAATAGGATTCACTGGCAAAATTTGCTGGCAGAAAACTGAAAGACTGTGGAGAAGATCTTCTTGTAGAGATATCTGAAGTGTTGTTTAATGAGTTGGCTTTCTTTAAGCTCATGCAAGATTTGGATAATAATAGTGTAACTGTTAAGCAGAGATGCAAAAGGAAAATAGAAGCAGCTGGAGTGATACAGTCTTATGCCAAAGAGGTAAATAAATAACATTCATTTTGATTTTAGGATAATTAGCACATACATATAGTTCTTGATCATTATTATTAGTAATAGCAATAATCATGTTGTACCTCAGCAAAAGTAAGTTATTTTTAGTAATCAGTCAGATTGTGTATTAGTACATGTGCTAGCCACATACAGAATCTCAGGAATAACAGCAGTGGCTAAAAACCAGAACTGATGCTAAATGTACGTTGTCAGATAGCCAGTTCACATTTTGTACCTTATTCAGGCCTCCAAAGAGGAGAGGAGGACTGGGATCCTGCTGCCTGCCATATATATTTTCTGAGAATATATATTACCTGGAGGTCACTCCCAGCCAACACACATGCTTGTTTATTAGTTAGGGCTTTGGTTGCATATCCCTGTTGTTTGTTCTACATTGTCAAATTAGTCTTGATCACATGTGAAATTGGTGAGTTTGTTCGCCCAAACTTGAGGCATACCAGCAGGCCTTTCCCCTAGATCTGCACGCTTTTCTTGACCCTCTTTTATGAGAGGGAAAGCAAGCCAAGACCCAGACAGAAAAAGGTAGCCCTTCTTCCTGAGAATCAAAAGTAGACAAAGTCAAGCTATCTGTTTCACACTTACCATGATGTTTATATTCTAGATATAAGTAAATTAATTTCAGATAATTTTAGCCTTTGCTAAGAACTTGAAAATAAAATGTCATAATACCATAACAAATGATTGGAAAATAATATAGCATATCATAATAAATGATTGGAAAGCAGTCTCCTTTCAATCTACTTTAGATAGACAGTCTCATGAGGCTCTTTAAGGGGATGAAACATGAGCTAAGACATAAAAGACAAGGAGTTCATAGTGAAAATAAAAGGGAAGAGCATTCCACGTGGAGAAAACTAAGTGTAAAGATTCTAAGGCAGGAGTGAGCAGTTTGGAAAACAGAAAGCCAGGGAGGGCAGGAACACGTTACATGCTAAGAGTGTAGGAGATGAGGTAACAGAGGTAGGTAAAGCCAAATTATGGAGCCTAAGAAATTGTGGGAAGGGTCTTTTATTCTAAGTGTGATGGAAACCCATGGGGAAAGTTTCAAATAGAGAAATGACATAATCTCATGTACAGTTTAAAAGATTTGTCTGGATACCATATTGAACAGAGATTGTGGGTGAGTATAGATGGAAGCAAGGAGACCAGTTGTAAGGCTGTTGCAGTAGTTCAGGTAAGGAATGATAATTTAATGTCTTAGATTAGTGTGCAACACTAATGTAATTAGT